TGCTGCTGTTCTGTGGGCTGCTGCTCAAGCCACCGCCCCTGCTCTTGCTGCTGCCTCGGCTGCTGATCGTGATGGTAACCCTCGTCCTCCATCTTCTGCTGGCGCCCGGGTTGCCGTTGCCGCGGCGGCGATGCCGGCGGCGACGCCGAGCCCTCTCTCCGGGGCAAGGTCCGGGGCAGCTTCCCCAGCCCGTCCGTGTCCGGGTCCAGATGCCCACACACGCCCTGCTGCTGCTGCTGCTGCTGCTCCGGGTGCTCCCGAGATGACCGCTGCTGCTGCTGCTGCGGCGGCGGTGACGCTCCGGGCCCGGTAGGCGACGTTATCAGATGGCCCGCAGCTGCTGCTACAGCTGCTACTGCAGCCCCCTGGGCTCGTGTTCCTCGGGAAGCCCTTGGAGTTCCGGGTAGACAGGACCTGCACACCTGTGGGCGGTTGTAGTTGCGGTTGCGGTCATAGCAAAAAGTCAAGGTTGGGCTCTGGGATTCGAACTGGGGTTCGCGTGGGGAGCCCTCATGGGATCATTCGTGGGACCAGGACTGAGTCGTAAGAGGCAAGTCAAGGCACGGCGAATCGGATATGGGCTTCTTCTCCACTAGTTGAGATTATATTGCCATGCACCACATGCATTCCTTCCCTCTCTCTCCCTCCCTCCCTTATGCCGGCCTGTGTGTGTACGGACCACCGCAGAAATCACCTCCCTCATGCACCGGCTCGGCCGGGTCGGGCCGGGAGGTACGGGGAAAGGTAGGAGGAAAAGATACCCACCACGCAGCCGCAGCTGAGAATGCAGGGCTGGTAAGCGAGGCGGCCACAGGAGGGGTTGCTGCACCTGTACGGCTGCGCAACACGTACGACGGCAGCCGCATCGGCATGCGACACATCAGCGGTAGGGTCGGCGCTGGTGACAGAAGCTGTTGTTGTTGCTGCTGCCGCTGCTGAGTCGCTATCCTCTGACGTCTTGCTGTCTGCGGCCTTTGCCCGAGCTGATGATACCAGCTCTGAAGATGCTGTTGGTGATGCTGTTGATGATGATGATGATGTTGATGTTGTATTCCCTTCCACATGTCCTGATGATACTGATGCTGGTGCTACGAAGAAGGGTCCTTTTCCCGGGCTGGGGCTGGAGCTGGGGCTGGGGAGCGGTATGTATGGTGACTCCACATGCTGCTTGGCCTCCAGCTCTGTGTGTGTGTATGTATGGGTGTGGGTGCATGGGTTTACGGTTGTGTTGTATGGGTGTGTGGCGGTATGATCGCGCAGAAAAACGAAGGCGGTCAGGTGAAGAAAAAGGTGTGCGCTCCACTACGAGGACCCTCGGGCGGAGGTACACTCCCAACGCCCAACGAAGGGGAAGATAGGGAAGCGCCAAGCGCCACCGCTTACCCTCTTGCCCGCACCCCCTTCCCCTCACCCTCTTCCCCTCACCCTCTTAACCTTACCGCGGTTCTCTCGTTCACGCTCGGAGTACTGTTCTGGAAAGGAGGATGCGAGGAAGTAATGGAGCGGAACGCAGACCTACGTGGGGGCGAGGGGGTGGTCCGCTTCAGGGCCATTCCTTTGCTCGGGTAAGGGAAGCTATCATAGGGGGTCCCGCAAGGCGCATGTTCTTAGGGCATCCCGCAACCCCTAACTGGCAGAACATGGGAACGTATCAGAGCAGGTTCGGGAATGACCAACGGCGAGCGATGGACGGAAGCATGTAATGAAGGGAACCACGCAAAGCGCGTTCTGCGAGCACGGGGCCTTCCAGCTGGTTGACAGGCGGAGGAGAGCGGAAAAGACGCGAGCAGCACTGCGGTGGGAGAAACAGGCGTCATGGGGCTCCTTACCCGGGGAAAGTGCGTGTAAGCGGCCCGGCATAGCGGGCACTGCGATGGACGGAATGGGTTCATGGAGTTGTGCATGCACCTGTGCGTGACGAATGGAAGGTAGAATGGAAGGGGGTAAGAAGGTAGGCTTAGGTAGAGAGGTCGCAGGCGGGAGAGGCGCGAAGACGAAACAGAGCGGCAGTTATGAAACTTTGGCTAACGATCTCACCAGAAGCAGAACGTATGGCCACAGTTGTTGATACAAGGTTTGTACAGAAGATCCATGCATATGGGGCAGTTCCAGTTCTCCAGGGCGAATGCGGATGCACATGGCTGTCCTTCCTCACTCCCTTCGGTTTCCTCGTTGGTGGATACTCTTCGCCGGCCCTCATGCGCGGCTTCCATGCTAACGGTTTCAATAATCAGCGAAATCTAACAGGTACGGGCTGTCACAGAAGAGGAAGGAGTATCAACTGAAGGAGCAGGCTTAAGTTGCAGTAACGAACAACCTTCACGGCCAGTCGTTGGAGCTAGAGGCCACGGAATTCAAGTATAACAGGGCGTTGGTATCGGAGCGTTGGTGCATTCCCTTGGCGTTTCTCTCGTAGGGCTATGTTCTTATTTCTTGTAGCTCTTGTGAGTATAATAAAAATATTGTGTGCTGGCCATACCGTGTGACGTCTCGTAAGGCTTTGAGGTACGGCGTGTAAGCGCAGGTAGGCCAAGGCCAACATAGCTTACGGCTGTACATCGCAGCCACAAAGGCTCGGTGCTGCGTTATACGTCAAATGGCCCTCATCTGCAGCAAATCTACGATCTCCGCTTCGGTGCGTTGCGTTACTTTACTGGGTTTCGACAGAATTAAGACGCTTCGTTTCGACCCGCTTTCCATTCCAAATGGTTTCTTAAGCCGCTGGCTCATGGTTTGCTAGTCACAATTCAGCGCATCCCTTGGATAGTGATCAATAAGCTTTTGTGGAGGACATATCGTCACAGGCTTCTTGGGTGATTTTGCGCAGGTGGCAAGCGGTAGATCTTTCCAGACAATTGTGCCTTTGTCGGCAGGTAGGCTGCCAGTCGCACCACGCATTTCCGTCTCGGAGCCGACAATAGTGGAGTCTATACGTTTGAGCAAGATAAGTCCACAGCGACTTGTGTCGATTATCCCAACCCAGGTCCGCAATACCCCTCCCCTTCGCTGCCGCGTAGGCGCACGGTCTCTCCTGTTCGGGCTGGCCAGCTGGACGCGTCCACCAGCCCGGACAAAGCACCAGGTCGCCCGCGCCACGGGTCCATGTGAGCGACGCGGGCAGCCTTGGCCAATTTTTTGTATCTCGGCTTGGCGGAGGTTGCAAAACCCTGGACAACGTGGCAAACGAAGCTGCGTGTCCAGAACTCTTGGAGCTATGTGCATCCCCGAGCAGAGTGTAGCTAGCAAACATCCCTCCTAGGAACCCCCCTGACATAACCCCCTGAGTATTCACCTCGATTCGATCATTCTACATCTTCAGCAGCTTTCAGGGCCTCTCTCTCTGTCCCCCGCCGCCCTCTCCCCCCCTTTCGGTTCATGTACTCCCTCCCTCAATTGCTGACCCCCCTCGCCAGCCCCCGCGGTCCCCCCACAATACGTTGTGGGAGGCGATGGCGACCCCGAGATGGCGACCTTTCAGAACCACCAGCAGTCCGCCCCGCGGCCCTCAGCTGCGGCGGAGGCGCGGACGGTGCTGGATCAGGGAAAGTGAGGAGGAGGGAAATCAAAACTAGGAGTAGGGAGCAGCAGGCAGTGGAGCCGCTACAATGGACCTGGCATGCAAGGGGGCGTTTTAAGCCCCAAGCCAAACCTGATGATTTCA